CTTTCCCTATCAGAGCCCTGATGTGAACAACCGGGTGGCTGCACGTGTAGTGTTCTTTCCAGTTCTGCCACCCTTACAATCAGATCCTGAGCCTATTTTTCAGGTGCTTTGTGGATGTCAAGAGATGAGAGTGTCCTTAAAGCTTTCACAAAGTATGTCTCAAGTTGGCAAATAGCTTCCCTATCACTTTCTTTTTGCAAAATCTCCAGCGCTGTCAGAAGAAGCCATCTAACCTCACAGTCTTTATGATTATCATTGATCAAACACAGTGGCCACTTGACCTCCCACAGCCTTGCTTTTTACCCACATCTCATTTCACTTAGCCAGAGGTGAAGCTTTACAAATAGTAATGTCAAATATATGCGTGATTATGACCTGCTTCCCATCAGTAACGGGGCCCCTGTGGCTTCCAGATAGATGGGAAATCCAGCTCCAACATCTGATCCTGAAGACTTGCTTTCTGGACCACTTGTGGTACCCATTGTCCCTGGTTCCTTAGGAGACAAAGCATGAAGCAATGCTTGCTTGCTAACACTTTACTGAGGGCTACAATCCTAGGACAAGAAAAAGAAAGGAAAAAGGAAGTAAAGGAAGGAAGGAGGACAGTAAATACAAGGCTGTGGCTGCATCTTTGGAAGAAAACATTGCCAGTTACTCAATCACACCTCCTGGACATCTCCTGACAGGCCAAATGGAACTACTACCATCCATATGCTGGCTCCCTCCCATCTCTTGTCTTTTGTTCGTCAAAATTTGCTGCAAGGTTTAACGCCCCTGCATTTCTTTTTTTTTTTTTTTTGCGGTACGCGGGCCTCTCACTGTTGTGGCCTCTCCCGTTGCAGAGCACAGGCTCCGGACGCACAGGCTCAGTGGCCATGGCTCACGGGCCCAGCCGCTCCACGGCATGTGGGATCCTCCCGGACCGGGGCACGAACCCGTGTCCCCTGCATGGGCAGGCGAACTCTCAACCACTGCGCCACCAGGGAAGCCCATCCCTGCATTTCTTGAGGAGAGTTACCTGGCCCGGGTAGGCAGATCCCAGGTACCATGGGTTGCTTGGTCTTCACCCTAAGAGCAGTGTGATATTCCATGGCGTTAGGAGGGCTGGGAGAATGTGGAGTCAGCTGACACTCAGGAGGTGCGTAGAGTGGGTTCAGTACAGGAATACTGAAGATCAGAATGGATGATGCAGGCTTTCCAACAGGCACAACCTGCCTAGGTTCTCCTGAAGTGTTGGACCTCTGGTTGGGGTCAGTACTTCTGAATCCCAGGTGAGCAGCTGTGTGATCCTGGGAAAGTCACATCTCTGAACTTGTCAAATGGGGCAATTACATTTACCCCACAGAATTGTAAGAACTGAATTAGAATGTGATTTAAGAACATTTTTAAGTAGCAAAGTGTTCCATATAAACCTCAGGGGCTGCTGTCATATCTAAAGACTGAAGTTGTGGACTGAACAAAATATCCTGGCTGGCTTAAGTGGAAAGGCATGAAAATACCGTGTTATTTTGACCTCAGCTGACCAATAGGGCTCATTTTGTGCCTTATTCTCCTGCTTCAAACCACTGGTGAAAGCAAGTCATCCAGGAAGCCCCTCCTGCCCTGACGCCTATATTTTCTTCCCGTCCCTCCTCCCACTATGATGGACCCCTTAAAGGCAACAAGATCTGATTTGTCCACTGTTGTATACCCAGCATCGAATGCTCTGTCTGGCCCTTAGTAGGTGTTCCGGACACTATGTATGGAATGAATGAACAAATGAACAAGCATCTCCACATCTTTGCCCAGGGGGTTCCCAATGCCTGAAATACTCCCCCACTCCTGGCCGGTCACCCAATCTTGGAAGCCTTTCCTGACCCTCCCTCGTTTTCACTGCTCTCTCCTCCCCTTATAGTGCTTTTGTCACACACAGATGACAGCAGAATGCCAATGGACAGTGGAATGGCTGGTTTTGTTATCTGTCTCCCAGATCAGACCCCAAGCTCTTGGAGGGAAGGGACAGGGCCTCGTTCACGATTGTGTCCAAGCATCTCCCTGGTTCAGATGCGGCTCTACGGAGTCTGCATGGAGAAGAGCCTCGGGCCAGCACTCAGTATGAAAGAGGTCGCTAGGAAACTGGTCTGAAAGCCGGTTTGCAGAGCAGTTTATAGAGTGTGTGTTTACAAGGGGTGACTTAAGGGTGCCCAGAGAGATTGGGGGAAGGAACTAAGTAAATGTTCCTTCGATGAATGAGCTATGGTGTCTGACTCTCCGCTCTCTGTCCTGACCCCCTGGTTCCTTCACCCAACCTAAAAATAAGATTGTCCATGCGCTGGGGGCGGGGGCGCTCTGGAGAGCCCCTCGATCAATCAAAGCGCTCGTCAGGTGCTCCCACCCCATCAGCCGAGGCCATGCATACCTGTGGCGCGGCCTGGCGGGGCCCGGCGCAGGTTGTTTGAGAGAAACGTTAACGCGCTGCTTCGACACCGACTTGTTGATAATCTCGCCTCAAACAGGAGTTTGAGATGGCTGACGAAATGCAGTGGTGCAGAGGTCCTCCCCGGGGCCGTCGGCAACTCCTTCCAAGGTGCAGCCGTGTGGCTGGAACGGTCCCCCAGCCCGGGACTACAGAAGGGAGAACACAGCACTTGGCCCCGAGAGTGGCGGCCTGCACCTCGAGCCCGGGCAACCGGGGCGTCTTCGGCCCCGTCCGAATGGGGTGGAGGAGGGGAGGGATTCCGCAGGGATCGAGCGCAAAAAGGGGTCTCCACGAGTCAGTCCTTACCCCCTTCCCGCCCCCTCGGAGAAACTTGGCGCGGGGGACGGCAGGCAAGGAGCAAGACCCTCGGGAGCTGGAGTCTTCTGCCTCGCGGGTGGATAAATAAATTATTAAGCGCCCAATACACAATAGCCTCACTAGATGGAGACGAGGAATCACTGCAGCGGCGCTGGCGGCAGCTGCGGCGGCGGGGAGCGCGGGCGGGAGCGCAGCCCCGGGCGGGAGGCGGGCGAGCTCTGGCTCGGCTCACGTCTGTTTTCCTTTTTCGTGCATTATTTATTTCGCCTCCGCCCGCGGCCCTGCGGCCAGAACAGGCGCTCGAGGCCAGCGCCTCTAGCCGCTGCTTCTCGCGGGCCGGCGTGACGGGCGGCCGGAGCTCGGGCACACCAGCGCCCCGGGCAGCCGCGCGGCGCCACCGGGGAGGGCGGGGACCCGGGGAGGGCACGCACCGCCCGCTCCAGGCGGCTAGGAGGAGACTTTCCCCGCCCTCCGCCTCCGCCTCCGCCTCGGCAGCCCGCCCCGGCCCTGGGCGCGGGGTGCCGCCCCTCCCGCCCCGCGCGCGACCAGGCGCAGCCCGGAGCCACCGCGCCCTGCGCCCCGTGCGAGCGCGCCCTGCCGGGGCCCCCGGCTCAGCCGCCCCGGAGGCCCAAACCGCGCGCAAACTTTTGCTCCAGTGCCCGGCGCTCCTCCCAGGCATGTGAAGCCCCCAGGCGCCCGCGCAGTCGCCAGGGTGAGGACCGAGGCCCCGCCTAGAGGGCGGGGGACTGGGGAGGCGGCTGGCTTTAAATGGGGGCCGTCCGGCCGCTCGGGAACAGATTCTGCCGCGGGGGGAGCGGGCGCCTCCCTTCCTCGCGCCGAGGATCGGCTGGGGCCGCCGCCAAGCAAGGTGGCGTAAGGCCCCGGAGGGGTGCGGGCGGAGATGGAGACGTGGGGGGAGCTCGTGGCCGGAGGCCGGGGCTCGGCAGAGCGCGAGGGCAAACGGGGCGCGCACTGAGGTGCATGTGTTGCAGTGTGCGCAGTGAGGGCCGGCGGGGCAGAGAGGGTGCACGCAGCGTGTACATGCGGGGTCAGCGAGCGTGCGGGCAGGAGTCGGTGGGTGTGCACGGCTGTTTCTGTGGGTGTGCACGCAGGGTGAATGGTGCCCGCCGGGTTTGAAGTGTGCTCACAGTGGGAGAGAGTTGTGCATGGCTGTTTCTGGGGAGGTGCACGGACCTCGGTAAGCGTGTTTGGCTGTTTCTGGAGGTGTGCATGGGGCCAGGGTTTGCGCTCAGGATTCCGGGGGCGTGCACCACGACGGACTGTAAGTTCTTGGATGCCGGCCCCTGTGAGTGTGCATGAAGGGTCAGCGAGGATGCAAGCTGGAACGAAAGGCCAGGCTTGGTTTACGAGTGTGCCCCAGGGTGCGGGGCGTCCCCGCCCAACCTGGACTGCTACGTGTGAGCGGGTGCGCAGCCACGGTGGTGCCAGCGGCGCCCGCCTGATCCGAGCTTTGCTCCCCTGACAGTTCGCCCCGGGAGCGGGTGCCGCGGGCCGAGATGCTCCTCCGGGACCTGGTGCTGCGCCGTGGCTACTGCTGGCCCTCACTGCTGCTGCACTGCGCGCTCCATCCGCTCTGGGGCTTCGTGCAGGTGAGCGGTGGCGCGGGCTGCGCGCGCCTGAGGACCTCCTGGTCAGGACCGGGTGGGGGGTGGTTGTCACTTCACTCCCACGACCCTGGCTTCCTGCAGTCGCCCCTCTGATTGGTCCTGGGAAGAGTTTAGGAAAAGAAAGGATGCATACTCTCGCTCTGAAAAGATAAGAAACTCCTGAAGGAAGCTTCGGTCCTGGCCTGCTGAGGCCTTCAGGACAGCGCCTTGGAACAGAAAGGGCTGAGGGAATGCCTTCTTGATGGTAATATTCTATTGCAGAAATGCAGACAAAGAAACCTTAGAGCTTTTACAAACTTAAAAAGAAAAATGATACCAAGAATATACCTTCTTTATTTCCCATCAGAGCCACTAGTAAGCTTCACATTAGCCTTCTTAAACTGGACTTCAACAAAGAAGGGGTTGTTTCTTGTAGGTAGTTGAGTTGAGGATGTGGACAGGTTTTGCGAGGTGGCCACTGGTGGGGGAATGTAAGAAGGAGCTGTCCATCTATAAGGACTGCCTGAGGATGGAACCTTCACCCTGGGCCCCCCAGTCCCCAGGGCAGAGACCAGGTAGCCACCAACTCGACTGACCTGTGTTAGGGTCAGAGAGATGCTAAGATGGGATGGTTCCTAGTCCCTCCCAGAATGCACACGGTCAGCAGTACAGTGGAATGGTGAAGAGGTGGACTTTGATGTCAGCTCTGAACTTTGAGCCCCAGCTCTGCCCCTTACCGGCTGGGGGACTTTAGACAGTGCACTTAACCTCTCTGGGCTCTGGTTTCTTCTTCCTCCCTGTGCTATTATAAGTACTTGATGAGATAAAGATTACTTAGCACAGCTCCTGAACCATAATAAACACTAAATGGTAGCTGTTGCTGCTATTATTGATGTCAGTAATAGTAACGTCACTCATCTATCTGGCTAGCCAGGTACTCTGTTGATTGCTACGTAGTCTGATCAACAATTTTGAATTGTTTTGATTGGCACTTTTAGCATTTCAGTCATTGAAATACCCACTCTGGGGTATTTGCAGCTTCATGTCCTTCTGTTGGCATTTTGGGGCTTGGGGACTTTTCAGATAGTTGCCCTGAGTAGGAGGTGACAGTCCAGAGAAGATGGGATTGAGCAACACTGCTTGCCAGGCTGCCAAGGCTCATGAGCTGTCCCAAGCGACGGGGCGTTGCTGGGAACCAGGGTGGTCAGTCCTGCTTGTATGGTAGCCCTGGTGACCCCTGGAGAGAACCAGGGGCTCTAATGCTGGAACCAGCCAGCTGGGGGGAGAGCTCGAGTGGGGGAGGGGCAGACCCCCCTCCTGCAGCGCCAGGCCCATCTTGTGCTCTCTTCCCTGGCTTGCTTCTGTGTCACTCACAATTGTTTTCCTTTCGGAATTGACAGCTTTGTTTAATGTGTGAAACGGCAGTTATTAAACTCAGCTGTGCCTCCTCGGGATTCAGAATTTTGTCACTTGGAAACACTTGGGTGGTTTGGGACCCGTTTCTCTTGTTCAGCTTTTAGCTGAACCTCAGGTGTTAAGCTCACTTCCTTTTTGTATTCATTTGTTTACAATTTTCCCTCTTCTGGGAGACTTTTTCAGGTAGTACAGAGAGCAACGTGATGATGTTGTTAATCTCCAAGGATTGGAATTTTCTGCAGGAACTAGCAGGATAGAAACAGCAGATCCACCACCTCCCTACCCACTCCCACCACCAAAAGAAAGGATTTTGTAAAGTAACTTCGTTTTTTAGCAGTGTTCTTCAGCCAGGCAAGTACTCACACAAGGAAATGTGGGTGTGAGTTCTTGTGTGTGTATTTCAGATGCCGCTACTCAATACAAATCGAGTTTTGTGAAAATCAATTAGAAAAGAAATCCTCCAGGCAAGTAGAATGGGTAAAATCTTGGCTGGAGGCACTGGAAAGATTAATCTACAAATGATAAGGACTGAGAAGTCAAGGGGAAAGGGACTTTGGAAGGGATGGACTTCCATTCCTTTTGGTTTTTGAGCAAAAGAGCTGAAACCAGGAGAAGAGAGCAGAGAGAGGAAAACTCGGAGCGCACAAAGCCACGTGTTTCCCTTTAAGTGGAGAGAGTATCATTTGTCACGTCATAGGAGTTTCTTGAATATAAAGAAATCTGTCTGTGCTTTCATGAGCTTTTGGCCAGAAGAATCCCTCTAAGTCGTAAACATCTGGAAGGGTGAGACCAGCACAATAATTGGTGAAGCAAGAGGTCTGTGGTCCCTCAAAGCACCAGGTTCCAACCTTGAGATCAGCCCGGAGCCTCTGGCTGCTGCCTGGATGATAAGAAACTTAATCACTACAGTCAGATGACATTAAATAGCCACAGGTTGGTGGGGGCACGCTTTAGGCTCTTCCCTTTTTTCCTTGTGTGTCTGGAATTGAGATTTTGAGCTTTTGTGATTTAGGGTTCTTCTAAGTTCACTTCCAGATGAGTCCTTTTTTTTTTTTTGCAAGTGAAGAGAATGACAGGCTGGCGAATTTATTAGGTGTGACAGGAGTGTGTCTCATCAAGTTACTGTGGTGCTGTAACAGTATCGAGTTACTGTCTCGATAAAAGATGCCAGCAGCCATCATCCTTGTGGGCGCCCCCCTAAAGCAATTGTCATGGAGACAGGCTCTGATACGGGCCTGTGGGTCTCTGTGTGGCAATGAGGAGCCATCCCAGACCCAAGCGATGCCGACCCCCCACCCCTGTGGTCAGTCATTACAGCTTCACCTATTTAGTCAGCTGCAATTATTGGGCACCTACTGTTTGCCAGCCCCCCCGTGTGAAGTGCAAGGGATCTAGGGGTCCCTGCCTTCATGGCATTGACAGTCTAGCACTGGAGAGACTGTTAGACAAGTCATAATAGGCAGGAGTGCTGAATAGGAGCAAATAGCTTAGAAACAGCAGCTTGTGGAAGATTCAGAGAAGCCTCGCAGATGCAGCGCTTCAGCTGAGACACGAACGAGGAGAAATCAGGAGTCAGGATGCAAGCGAGAGCGAAGTGTCCAGGCGGTGGAGGGAACAGCCCCGAGGTGGGAGGGGAGGGCAGGGCATTGGAAGAACGCAGGTGAGGCCTCTGTTGTAAGCCACTACCATCGTGTCTTACAGTTTGGACTTGATCCTGAGGGCTCTGGGGGCCGTGGAAAGTTTTAAGAAAGAGACGACACAATCTCAGATTGGCATTTTAGAAATCTCAGTCCAGCTCCAGCGCAAAGTTTGGATTCAGGGAGGGGGCGAGGCAAGGGGCACAGGGGCTGGTGAGAGTAGGGTTGCCAGATTTAGCAAATAAAAATACAGGCAGTCCAGTTAAATTTTCAGATGAACAATGGATCGTTCTTGAGCGTTAAGTATATCCCATACAATATTTGGGACATATTTATACTTAAACAACGTTGTTGTTTCTCTAAAACTTTACAGGGTGTCCTGTATTTTATCTGGCAACGCTAGGAGAGAGGCAGGGCTACCCAGTGGGGATGTGATGGTGTCCTGGTTTAGGGCTGTAGCACTGGGAGTGAGGAGAGGTGGATGGATTCAAGGACTATTTAGGAGGACTGGGCCAGAGAGCTACACTGGCCAGAAGTGGGAACTGGCTGCCACAGCACCGTGTCCCCCAGACCACGGTGCCAGGGACCAAATCCAGGTGCCTGCAGGACCTCTCTGTGCCTCAGGATTCTGGCCCCAGGAGAACGCTGCAGAGCAGGGACAGGAAGGCAGGAGATGGCAAAACCGGAATAAAAAGTGGTCACAGGAACTCACGGTACCGGCTTTAGGCAGGTCGTTGACCCCTCTGGGCCTCTGCTCCTTCTTGGTTAAGTCTAGCTAAGAGCAAGTGACTTAAGGGGCAAGTTTCTTCTCCTTGTAAGACTCCCCAGGATGTAAACCAACCAAGCCAGGCCTTGAGACAAGCTCGTGGTACTGAGGTTTCCTCTCAGCTGGTCTAAACGCGACACTGCCGACCCGCAGAATCCCAAAGTGGACCCGGAGCTGGGGGATGGGGTAGATCCCATGTTTCTCCACTGCTGGGCAGACAATCCCCGGCACACATTTTTACTGAGCACCGACGGAACACTGGGCCCTGTGCAACTTTGGTAAATCACGTAGCTTTTGCCGAGCCTGTCGTCCCAGCCGGTAAGTGTGGATGATAAGAGCTACCCCTCTTGATTATCCTCATGGTGAAAGGAGAGCCTTTTTCCCATGACTGACACACAGTAGGGCTCAGGAAGTCCCACATGGTCAGTATTGATAAAGCACAGACCCACCTACCTTTCTGCGCCAAGATGCTCACAACTTAGTGTAGGAGGACGTTAACAGCGGGAAAAGTGCCCCAAAGGGGAGGGTTTACGAGGTGAAGAGGCAGCACTGGGCAGCTGGGTCTAATCTGGGGGGCCATGCGGTTCAGGACAGTTTGCCTGGGAAAGCCATGTAAGAGCTGGGTTTGAAGGATGCATAGAAGTTGGCAAGCGGATAAAGGACCTGTGTAACCAGCTGTCAGTCTAGGGAGGCTCAGCGGCCACAGGCTCGCACTGGACCAAACCAGTGAGGAGCCCAAGGGGTCCCCGGCTCTGGGAGTAGGACAGCCCTCTCAGGCTCTCGCTAATTCTGTGATGACCTTTGGGTAAGCAGTTGCGCCCGCTCGCATTTCAGTGGGACCGTTACACGAGAGACCACAGATGTTCAACACGCCGTGTGTGCCTGCACTTTCCCCACTTCAGCCTCGAAACTTGGCCCTGGTTTCCCTGCCTGTAATTTCATCACATCAAGCACTCTTATACATATGTGCCCTTACAGCCTCTCACGAAAATAGGTCATTGTGTTGGGCCAGGTTAAAGAAACGTGCTCCCCTTGAACGCTCTTGCATAAATTGCACCTTGGAGAGTGGGAAAGTAATTGCTTTGGCAATGGCATTGCTTGAAGTTTGCACACTTGGTAGAGTTCAGCGGAGAAGCAATCTCAGAGGCCAGCCGTCGGGAGAAGGGAGATTTTGAGCAACCGCCATGGTGCTAGAAGGTCAGAGTCCAGATGGTGATGGGAGGGCTGACAACTACGCTGGGGGAGATGCCAGTGGATTTGCCATGACGTCTAAGGAGTTAATCATCTCCGTAAAATAACAGAAAAGGCTCACGGTCTGAGAATATGCTCTTCCCGGCGGGAGGTAAGATTGCCTTCCAGAGTTTGAAATGCAGTCAGTGGTCCTTTAAAAACACTAAAAGGTGGTGAGCAGGAGCTTTGTGGCCTCGTCAATATTAAGTCAGGGCTGTAAATCAATCCACCGCCTGCTGCCGTTCCGGTAGCCATTACCCATCCTGTTCACATCTGCCAAGTGGCAAGGGAGCAGCTAAGCCCTGCTGGCTCTCTCTGCGGGCCTGGAACACGTGCAGCAAAGGGTCTGCACTGGCCTCCAAAGGCAGGCCTTCCGTGGCTGGTTGCAGGGAAATTGGGGTTCTGGGTTTCTACTCACCGGAGATGACAGCCAGAGAAACGAACTGTGGGCATAATTGAAGTGGGGGGTGACCACCAACTCTTCCTTCATGTCTTTAAATCGGCTGTTCTCTGGGCAGGCAGAAAATGCTAGGTTCAAAGATTTATGGCACTCTGCCATAGAGAGGGATGCTGGCAGTTGGTCTAAACCAGCCATTCTCTCACTGGCTACATAGAAGTTTAACCTGGGATGCGTCAACAAAACACGCATGCGCAGCTCCACCTGTAGAAATTCTGACTTAACTGGTGTGGGAAAAGCTCGAGCATGGGTATTGTTTAAAGCTGCCTGGAGATTCTGATGTGCAAGAAGGGCTGGGAACCGCTCGCTGGGTGAACACAACCCACTTTTGCTCCCCTTTTTAGTTTACAGATGGGCAAAGTGGGGCTGGTGTTGAAAGAACACCAGCCCAGGAATCAAGAGGTGTGGATTCTGGTGAATTCCAGGCATTTCCTTAGGTGTTATGATGGCGAGAGAAAAAACAAAAGGCCTGACCCCTGACCCCATAGACCTTAGAGTCCAGTGGTAAATAGGCGACTGAGCTAGGTAAACACCCCCATGTGGATTTCTGCCACACAGAGTGAAAGCCGGTGCCAGGAGAACCTGTAAAATGGAGATCTGACCTGGTGGGGGGGGGCGGGGGGGCGGTCAGAGACGCTTCCCTGAGGAGGTGATAGCCAAGCTGAGTAATGGGTAAAGCAGAGGGAAAGGTATCGGAGAAGATTCCAGGCCCCTGGAGCAGCGTGCTCAAAGGGAGGAAGCATGAGCAGGGGCCAGGCCCCGGAAGGAGGGCTTTGCGAGCAGAGCAGAAGGCCAGAGCAGGAGGGGAGGGGGGCCCTCCCTTGCAGGGCCCCGTGATTCCCCTGAGCTGTGGGTGAGCATCCGGGCATGGCGGGGCGGGGGGTGTGGGCAGTGTGGTCAGGTGTGTTTCCCACAAGGCCACTCGGGTGGCTCGTGCATCACACTGGGGAGGTTGCTCTGCTCCCCTTCGTCACGTGTGCCACCAGAGCAGAGGCCTGGCCGGGTAAGGTTCCTCCCCCAAGGTGGGGGGACCTTGGCCCAGAGTGGACACAGAGAGGCCATCAGGAACTGTGGCCAGAGAGGAGGCGAGGGCTTGGTCCTGCACCGTAGCCGGGCCGATGGGAGAAGCGGTTAGGTCAGGTTACGCAGAAGGTAGAATCAGTGTCCTGTCACCATCTGCGTGCGAGAACCTCAGGCGGCCACTTCTCCTGCCTGGGCCTCAGTTTCCTCATTTGCACGATGGGGAGATTCTAGAAGCCTCTCACGAATGCCCAAGCCAACTGCCCCGGTCCCACAGAGCTGGAAATACAACCTAGGTCTCCATCCCTGCCAGGCCAGGCCCGCGTAACACTGTTCCCTGCGAGCCAGCCCAGCTTCTGGCTCTTCCTCCCGCCTAGGTCTGGGGAGGGGTGCGTGGGCTGGGGTGGTCCCGTTTGGGCTCCCAGATGCCGCATTGGCTTCTCTCGGGCGCCCGTGCCCATTCCTGCAGGTGACGCACGGGGAGCCCCGGAAGTCCTGCTCCAAGGTGACGGACAGCTGCCAACACATCTGCCAGTGCCGGCCCCCGCCCCCGCTGCCCCCGCCCCCGCCGCCCCCGCCGCCTCCCCGACTCCTCTCCGCCCCAGGTAAGTAAAGGCTCAGCTCTGGTTCCGGTTTCTCTTCGCGTTTTCCGGGGCCCAGGAAGGACCTGGGAAGCAGGTTCCCGGGAAGCCAGGAAGCAGAGGGCAGCCTTGCTTCCTTTGTAATTTTCCACTGGCCGAGCAGGAGGGAAGCCAAGACCCAACTTTTCCCTGCAGTCTGCAGAACGCCTTTCCCACAGAACGTTCCTGTGAGATGGAGAGAGATGTTTCTCCATTGGTTAATCAGATAAAAGTCAGTCTCCATTTGATGAGTGGCTCTGCCTGGACTGTTCCGAAGGCCAGACCTTGAAGGGCGGCAGCCATGGGCACTGGTCTGAAATACCCCTCCCGTGAGCATGGTTTCATTTTTTGATTTTAATTCATGTGTAAGGGAGCGATTAGTATAGAACCGAGGTGGAGGCTCTGAGAGCAAAGTTACACGGGTGCCGTTCAGCTATTTGCAGCGAGTTCTGCTACACACACACACACACACACACACACGCACACACACACGCACACGTGCGCGTGCGCATCCCCTCCCCCGCCCTGGTCACTTGTTTGCCTTGATTTCATCTCTGAACAATTTGATTGCAAACAAAGGAGGGTTTCTTTAGCCAGAAATGGCTTCAGTCCTGACCCGTAGGGGTTAAGTTCCCTGCTTACAATTGCCAGTTGATAAGGTCTCTAACAAGAGATTCTGTATTTTGGTTTGATCACTCAAGTTGCGGCCTATAGAATGCCCAAGCTCATGTGTGGATCCACCTCATTAAACACATCTCCGTTGAGTTATTTGGGGCATATTTTAAATAACTTTGACGAGGCTTATTCTCTGGTAAGCCGTGTTTCCAAGCTTGCGGTGTGCAGGCAGGGATGCGGTGTTCTGGTGGAATCTTTTGCAGTTCACATGTGTTTCTGCACCTTGTCTGCTAGGCCCCCACCTGTCTCCATTCTTCCCTGACACCCGTGGCTCAGTGCTTCTCAAAGTGTGGCCCTCAGCATCGCCCGAAGCATTCGTTTTAAAGTGACGCTGCACAGGGCCACTTCAGCCCACTGAGTCAGAGCCTTTGGGGTGGGACTTACGAAGCGGCATCCTAACAAGTTCTGAGATGATTCAAGTGCAAGTTAAAGTCAAGAACCTCAGCCTACCAGGCCCTGTGCTCCAGGCCTCTGCAGGGTCCTGCCATCCCAAGATGCTCACCCTCCTTCTCTCTCCTGAAGGAATCCCTGGGCTGTACTGTAGGGCCCCGCCTCAGGCCCCTGGCCCCTCACTCCCTTCCCGTCCGTGAAATTCCTTCTCCCTCCGCTGTTCAAGCTCCAAGCCCGTGCTGCTTCCAGGTGTGTTTGTACCTGATGGATCCACATCCGCAAGTTAGAGTCTGTTCAGTTCACCTTGTGCGAACCGAGCATCTGTGCCAGACACAGACCTGAAAGACCATTCTGGTCTCTGGGATCTCTCGGCCTCAAGGAAGGCCTTCTGTCAGCAACCCACAAAAAGTGACCTGAGAGAGCACAGAAATTGTTCTCCAGGTGCACTGGAAATCCTTGAGTGGCTGGGCCAAACTACAGCCACAGTAAACAGTAACATTGACTTGGGTCTTCATAATAAGTGGAATTGTTCTAGGTCATTGAAGGGGTGGTGGTGGGGAAAGGGCATCCAGGCAGAAGGACCATCGAGAGCAAAGGCTTGGAGGTGTGACTCTATGGGACTTCTCATGGGAGGTCCAAGCCCCTCAGACTGTGATATGCCTTGTGTGCCTGGCCGAGTAGATCACATTTCATCCTGTGAATCGCTGTTTGCCAAACATTCCCCTATCCAAATACCTCCTGTTGTTGGCCTTATTTTTTTTTTCTTTAAACAGACTCACTTTTGTGTTGATACAAATTAATCTCCAAAGAAAACTTAATAACTACCATCAGTGAAAAACCAGAATCACTTGCGTAAGTAGCAGGTGACCATAAAAACAAATGCAAACAAACCAGTGTTTTAAAGTTCTAGCCTGTCGTGAAAGGTTCTCAGCTCGAGGCCTTCTTTCTTTCTGCTAAAAACGGAGCGCAGCAGGTGGTAGACGGGTGGCAGAGCTGTAGTAGCCCCGTGCGGAGATATTTCTCAAGAAAGAAATCAGAAGGTTTGTGAGAGAATCAAAAGGGGCCTAAGTTTCTTGTTCTATGTTTCTGTGTGTCTGAGCACCAGGTCCACGTGTCATCCAATACCAGCTCACTTACCTGCAGGGACACGTGCCCCATCCTTTAGGAAACTCTACTCTGGGCAGCGATGAGCCCACGAAGGTATTAAGCAAAGAAGTGACACGATCCCACACCGTCCGCTTCAGAGTCAACTTTCCTGACCATGTGGAGGGTGGATTGGGGTGAGCTACCCGACTGGGGTAAAGAGGGGACCACTGAGATACTTTAGGCCCCAGACCAGCCACGAAGGCTTGAAGCCAGGTGGGGGGGCTGTGGAGAAGGGGAGGCGGATGGCGGTGCCAGGTGTGATGCAAAAACCGGAGAGAGCTGTTCATTTTTTGGCTCATGTATTGGAATATTCCAGCAGCAGGTCTTATATGATGACGGTACTGGGTTTCCGTGTCCATCTCTCTCTTGTGATTTCTCCCGGGTCACCTTTTCTCTCAGGCAGGCCCAGTCTCTGTGGCTCTAGGCTCCAGGATTCCATCAACCTTACAGTTAGTAATCTCCCTACAAGGAGAGCTTCTCTTTCTCAATCATTCAGTCATTCACTAGACCAGCTTGAGTCACATGTCCATCCTTGAACCAATCATGACGGCCTACGAGATGGAATGTGCTGATTGGTCAGGCCTGGGCCATCTGACCACGGTTGACAATTGAGGTTTATGGATAGAGGTTAAGAGGGTGGTGGCTTCTGAAAGGAAAATCCAGGTAGAGGGGTTGTAACCCAAGGATGAAGACGTGGACACTAGGCAGGAGGACAGCGGATGCACCCCACAGCCATGGGGTTCCTGGCAGATTAGACCAGTGGCAGAGAATGTATTTTGCACACTGTCTTGGTCCTCACTGAGCTCAGCCCAGAACCCCGCACACGAGTACTGCCCGGTAATGTCAGACAGAGCTATGGCCACATCCACAACTTCTGCCTGTTCTTTAATCCCTGAGGAATTAGCCTCTCCCAGAGGGCACGGGGCTTCAGCAGGTGTACACGGAGCTCCCCAGGTGCTGGCAGGGGCTTGAAAGTCAGCTATGATCAAGAGAGGAGCAGCTCCTGCCCACAGGGAGCTCACGGTGCAGTGGTCCATAATCTGCAGAGCGTGTGTCTAGGAGTGTCCTTTCCTGCCATCTTTCTGGATACACTGGCTCCAGGCACATGCCAGCCTTTGCTCCTTTGGTCATCAGATGTGCCTGCATCCCTGCCACTCACAAGGGCTTCTGATTTACCTGGTGAACGTTTGCCGAGTGTCCGCTCTGCGTCCAGCCCTGTGTTGGGTGCACTGGAGGCCCACAGAGAGTTGTTCTCAATGGCGGGGCCCGAGTAATGAAAAGACTGAGAACACGGCATGAGAGGTTGAGACCCTGAGCCTGGCTTGGTGTGCTAGCCCTGCCACTTCCTCTGCATGATTATAAGAGGGCTGGTAAACTTTTTGTTTTAATTTTTATTTTATACTGGACTATAGTTGATTTACAATGTTGTGTTCGTTTCAGGTGTAAAGCAAAGTGAATTAGTTATACATATGCATGTATCTATTCTTTTTCAGATTCTTTTCCCATATACGTTATTATAGAATATTGAGTAGAGTTCCCTGTGCAAGGACAGCAGGTCCTTGTTGGTTATCTATTTTATATATAGTAGTGTGTATATGTTAATCCCAACCTCCCAATTTATCCTTCCCCCCAGCCTTTCCCCTTTGGTAACCAGAAGTTTGTTTTCTATGTCTGTGAGCCTACTTCCAGTTTGTAAATAAGTTCATTTACATCATTCTTTTAGATTCCACATATAAGTGATATCATGTGATATTTGTCTTTCTCTGTCTGACTTACTTCACTTAGTGTGATAATCTCCAGGTCCATCCATGTTGCTGCACATGGCATTATTTCATTCTTTTTTATGGCCGAGTAATATTCCATTGTATATATGCACCACATCTTCTTTATGCATTCATCTGTCGATGGACATTTAGGTCGCTTCCATGTCTTGGCTATTGTAAATAGTGCTGCAGTGAACATTGGGGTGCATGTATCTTTTCAAATTATGGTTTTCTTCAGATATATGCTCAGGAGCGGGATTGCTGGATCATATGGTAGTTCTATTTTTAGTTTTTTAAGGAATCTCCATACTTCTCCATAGTGGCTGCACCAATTTACATTCCCACCAACGGTGTAGAAGGGTTGAAATAGGGCTGGTAAACTTAAGCCTGAGTTTTAGGTGTGAGGCTTCCACCCACCAGTGGGGTTGACCGGAGAATTCATGTAAGTGGCAAGCGCTTTTGAAAACTGGACCGGTATCCATTGCTGCTAACCATTGTGTGAAAATCATTCTGATAAAGAGCAGCCTCTGAGTGTTAGACTTAGGGAGAAAAAGAGGTGCTTTGGGGGAAAGATACTTAATTCCAAAAAGGGCAGGAAGGGAGGATCAGGACAACGTGGGAGAATTTCCAAGTAAACCTTGGATAGGCAGGAGCACAGGGTGGCCGGACAGTCCATGGAGAGGCTGAAGCAAAGGCCCGGAGTGTGGAGCCCGAGGATCAGGCAGGAGGCGCCCTGCTGCAGGAATGTCCTGCTGCAGGAGTGTGGACTTCGGTACATGTGTCGGGGGAGAAGGAGGACACAGGGAAACCTCTGTACCTACTCACACAGACCTTTATAAAGTCGCCTGTAAAAGGAAGAGCCAGAAACATCTGCCAGAGTTGTTGGGCATCCTCCCTGTGGCCTCACCCAAACAGCACCTGCTGCTCCGGGCTACCAACGTATCCCGGGTTGGCCGGGACTTTCCTGGTTTTAGCCCTGAAAGCCCTGCCTCCCGGGAAACCCTGTAGTCC